CCAACACACAGACTTCATAATGCCCTACCCCTGCTTTGTTTTCTCCCTTACCTTTTTCACTCTCCAACCTACAAATTATCTATTTCTTATGGGACTAAATTCCAACTTTTTTTTTTTTTATCTTGCCCAAATTCCTATCTAAGGGGTCTGGGGGAGTCATGCCCTACAGATCATAAATTCTCATCAGATGGGTTTTATTTAACCGTATATATCATGATTTACTTTCCACCCTGACTCTAGCATAATATTATAAGGCAAAGAAGAAAATCAAAATATTTTACCCCAAAACACATTTCTTTGCCATATTTTGAAAGCTGTTCTTTGTGGAGGAAAATTTGCATCTGTAAAGAATCCCTGTTAACATAGCGAGATACTTTTCTTCCAGACCCTCTCAATCCTAAAGAGATTAACTAAGATCTGAATAGGAAACATTTGTCACTTACTGTCTCTATGGGCAGCCGCTATAAGACTTCAAAAGAACTGTGGTCTCCACAATCTTGATCTTAACCTGAACATTCCCTTTCTATCTATCTCAGGTCTTTAGACAAACTCAGCCAATTGTCAACCAGAAAATGTTTAAATTCACCTATAGCCTGGAAGCCCCTGCTTTGAGTTGTTCCTCCTTTCTGGACCAATATTTCTTAAATGTATTTGATTGATATCTCATGCCTCCCTAAAATGTATAAAACCAAGCTGCACCCCAACCACCTTGGACACATGTTCTCAGGACCTCCTGAGGGCTGTGTCATGGGCCATAGTCACTCATATCTGGCTCAGAATAAATCCTTTCAAATATTTTACAGAGTTCGACTCTTTTCGTCCACAGTTGTATTGTCTGATTCCTCCATTAGAATATAAGTTCTGTTAGGGCAGGAATTTGGGGGTGTTTTCTCTATCCTAACCCTAGGACTAGGTTCCCAGTACATAGTCCATACTCAGTGAATATTTGTTGTATGAATTCACGAATATTTGGATCTTTATCCCGGTACCCAGTGCTGGGGTCCCATCTTGACGGCCCATCCTTCAAGACCTGGGATGCAGCTTTGATTCCCTCTCCCTCTCCCACACATGGGCAGTGCCCAGTCTGCAGGCCGATGCCAGATTCTCCGACCATGCTGCCTGCTTGCTCACAGCTCTAAACACTGCCTGGTCCTAACGGCCTTGATCCTGGAATTTCTCACTGAAGACTCTGCTTGGACATGTTGTTGCCTGTTCCTCCTCTGACTCAAACTGTTCTTGCCCGCCCCAGTGTTGGCCTACAACCAGCCTTAAGAACTGGCCTATCCCAGTCTGCCCCAGTTAATTAACCTTCTCTGTGTGACAGCTTTACAAGACTGGACAGAAGGCAGAACACCCATGATGCTCTGTGAATTAAAATCCCAGCCAGTGGCAGCGAAAGACTAAGGATGGGGGTGGTTTTTCCACATCATGGTGAATGCTTGACTCCCCCAAATAATTGTTTCAAAAACAGCTGAATAAAAGAGCTGAAAAATTTTGGAACAATTACTGATCCCTGAAATTAGCTTCTGAAGAGTAGTCTTTAAAGTCACTCTTGTATAATCATAACATTTCTAGGCTGAACTTTCCTAGTAAAATCTTGGGATGTTATAACTTACCTTCCTCATTCCAACTCCTTGCCAACGTCAGAGTTTTCAAGACCCTCATTAACTTCTCCTTAAAGTGAATTTCTGGAGCTGGGCATGGTGGCTCATGCCTGCAATTCCAGCACTTTGGGAGGATGAGGCAGGAAGATAGCTTGAGGCCAGGATCAAGACCAAACCAGAGCAACAAAGAGAGACCCCTATCTCCACAAAAATAAAAAAATACAAAAATTAGCTGGGCGTGGTGGTACTCCTGTAGTCTCCCAGTTACTTGGGAGGCTGAGGCAGGAGGAAGCTTAAGCCCAAGAGATCGAGGTTGTGGTGAACCAGGATTTTGGTCACCACACTCCAGCCTGGGCAACACAGTGAGACCCTGTCTCAAAAAAAAAAAAAAAAAAAAAAAAGAATTCTCCTTCCTGCCCTGAAGTTGAGGCTTAAAATAAAGACTCCTGAAGTCTTCTACTTCAAGATTACCTTAGGCTTCTAAAACGTGGATACAGCTTTCACTCTTTTCAGGTGTACGATAGAGGTTTTAGCTTGGGCAAACAAAGGGATAAGGATCAGTCAGAAGACCATAGAAGGCAACGTTTTAATTGGGATCCCAGGGACAACTGATACCCATGCAGCTTTATCTGTTTCTAGATGACCAGTTTTATGTATGTGCTTAAGGACAGCACTTTTGGAAACCCCATCAACAGATCGTAATTGTGGGACATGACAAGGGTGCTCTGAGTACATTGAGAGTTTTATGGTAGGTTACCTAGATTCTCCATTGGTTTATAGGGCTTCCTCTGAAAAAACAAAAAACAAACAAACAAAAAAACCCGGGCGCGGTGGCTCATCCCTGTAATCCCAGCACTTTGGGAGGCCGAGGCGGGCAGATCACCTGAGGTCAGGAGTTCCAGACCAGCCTGGCCAACATGGCGAAACTCCATCTCTACCAAAAATACAAAAATTAGCTGGGCGAGGTGGTGCGGGCCTGTAATCCCAGCTACTCGGGAAGCTGAAGCAGGAGAATCGCTTGAACCCGGGAGTCGGAGGTTTCAGTGAACTGAGATCCCGCCACTGCACTCCAGCCTGGGTGACAGAACGAGAGAACGTCTCAAAAAAAGAAAAAAAATAAAAATAAAAATAAGAAAAAAAAAAAAAGAAATCTTGGCAGAAGCTTTTCAGTAAGCTACTTGGGGAAGTGAAACTGGGAGCTCTTTCCTTGCGGATACTACCGTAAGACAAAGACGGCTCCACTCCAGCAGTAGGGAAAGGCGGTAAGTACCGCCCGAATCCGTGGGGATCACACACAGCTGAGCCCTGCTGCTGGGGACCGGGAACGTACGCAGGCTGAACTTCATCTGAGCTCTAGAAGCGAGTTTTAGGTTTTCATTCTGCAGGGAAATCCTTTAAAAAGGCACCAAAGGGCATGGAACCATCTTCTACCAAGGACCTTTCTCCTCCATTCTCCTACTTCGCAGTTAACTCAAGAGGCGGGAGATTTTCTCCGGGGAACAAGACATTCTAAGCACCTTCCTAGGTCGAAGTTAGGTTTTAAGGTGTGGAATAGGGTGGGCCCCGAGGTTCCGTGGGGTTCGCGCTTCCATATAACCCCTAGGACTTGCATCTCCTTACTCCCCTGCTTCTTGTCCCCCATTTGAGGGATTCAAATAGTGGGGTGTCCGTTCGGGCCTCTTTGGAAAGCGGGGCCCCACCCTGGCTGGACTACGTGAACTTTTAGGGGCAACCAAAAAGTATCTTCGGTGACGAGGATGCAGGGCAGCTTCTGGAAACCTGATGATCTCAGCTCCTCCCTCTCGCTGTTCGGGTCCTAGGCACAGGCTGGGCACCCCCCAA